TGTACAACCCGTCAGCTTACACGTGAACGTAGCGCGGCCCCCTCAAGGACAGAGTGGTGCTGAATCAGCGCCAACTTCCGCTGGCATGCTGTCGCCGAACAGTGGCATTCGACCGCCACCTTCATATCCGACAGCAGCTGCTTTTGGTGTTATGAGCAACTATCGGGCACCTTATCAGACTGGTGCCACTCAGACGGGCGATTATCCCAACTGTATTATTACGCCAAAAAGCGAACCCGATGTCATGCAGATGTGTTCAGGTATTCTGTCATTTCTGAACGAAAGAAGCAACTCAAAATGAAGCAACTGTTTTACAGAATCAGCTGGAAAGTGATACAGACTTTGGCGATGCAAATTACTTAATGTTTTTACAAACCGCAAATGTGGAAAGGGAGAGGGTGGCGAAAACCGTGCAAGGAGTTCATCAAATTTTGCTTTGATTTTTGAAAGAAGATTTCGGTGAGGAGATGTATATATTGCTTTAAAATAATTCATTGATTTTTGTGATAGGTCCTCCAACGCCATCGAGTGGTCGCCCAGGATCATCGAGCTCCACGGAATGGCAGTATCGTGGTGGAAGAGCGAAAAGAAGAAGGCGTGAAGAAGATAACAGCTACGACGAGTGTAAAAGACCAGCATTACTTGGAGATATCGCGATTGAGAATTTAGCTACACAGTTTGAACGGGACATATATAGTGTTGTTGATCACTTGATAACACAAGCTGTTATCATGGTGGATGGTTCGTTTTTACACCGAATTCATTAAAAAAAAATCAAAGGCTACTCCAGGCTGTCGGTTTCAGTTATTTACATGATGAGTAGGACTTTGTCAAATTTCCTGATTTGCGATTTTGCGTTTGCAGTTCACTTCATCCACTACACATGCACGCCAGCTCATCGCTGTTTACCAATAGCTGTCTTTCGCTTTACAAGTACCATTGACAGATGAACCGCTAATTAACCTTCAGCCGTCATAGTCACAATTACGAAATTTGCATGGCATATAAATCGTTCTTGTGTGTTTTTGCATATATCCAAATGCAAAAACACATATTGCGATGACCCGTGTGTATATACATATATATATATATATGTTTGTGTGTCTGCGTGTGCATCTCTCCGGGCATTTCATCTTGGCAACCAAGCAAGCTCCGACGCTAAAATTTAGCGATAGAATTCCTAGGCCAACCACCACCTTAGGGCTGTGGCATCAGCTTTCACGTATGTTTGGCTCCGGTGTACGAACACATGAGAGTCCTGGTGGAAAATGGCTAACTTGGGAAGCAGAAAAGCTGGAGGACTGAAATTTTGGGAGGGTATTCACGGCCCATGTAGAAATTAAGGACTTCATACTCAATCCCCAGGTATGCATGGTTCTTACGCAAGCGTCCATGAAACATTTTGACGAGAAAATTGCTAACTCAGAAGCAGGAAAGCTGGAGAGCTGAAATTATGAGGGAAAGTTCCTTGCCTAAATACGACTTAAAGATTTCAAATTCAATCCACAGGCGTCCGCGGTTCTTACGTGCGGGCGCATGATGCTAACTCGAGAAGTGGAGAAATTGGACGGCAAGGATTTTAAGGGATTATTCCCCTTCAAATTACAACTTATGAGTTCCAGATTCAGTCTTCAGGCATGCGTGGTTCTCGCGTGCGGGCATGGGGGAATTTTTAGCGGGAAAATTGCTAGTTTTGAAACCACAAATGTTCTGGGGATGAGATTTTAAAGGAGTGTTCCCCATCCACATACAACATATTTCTAATTCAGCCCGCAAGTGTGTGGTAACTCATGTGCAAGCACTTGAAGGTTTTGACGGAAAAATTGCTACCTCGGGAACCAAAAAGCTGGGAAGTTGAAATTTGAACGGAACGTTCCCTTCCCAAGTGCAATTAAAGATTTCAATTTCAGCTGCCAGGTGTGTATGGTTCTAACGTACGGGCACCCAGAAGTTTTGGCGAGAAAATCACTAGAAAAGTAGTTAATTTTCAAAGAATGACCGTTTGATGGAAATTGTTTACTTTCCTCTATGCAAAATTTACGATGATTTACGCTAGTGAGCGCACAAGAAAAATGTAAAGCAAGACCATTCGTATAGTTAACGACTTGACTGCTTCAAGTTTGGTACGAAACGTATGATCGCACCGTGTACGTTCCAGCCTAGAGTTCATTGGAAAAACATATTACTGATGCCGCTATTATTTCGTAAACGTTGCAGGTGCTGAAGCAGCTCGAAAAAGTGGGATGCTGAAGAGACTTTTGGAGTCACAACCGGGGAAAATGTTCGCATCGCAGAGACCTCCGCTTTCTTCACTTGAATTTAACAGTTAGTTCTTGCATTTGCTCATTTCATTGAAATGAAGTAAAAAATTCGAAAATTTTAGATGCCGTTTTGACTTATTAAAAAACGGGTGTGCCGATTTTAAAAAAATCAGTCTACTGTTACACTGCGAGCGTCCTATATGCGGCGCCCTATCGGGAACCGGCTGACGGTGAGTGCTAACGACTGTTGGTTCCTTTCAGATCCGGTCGATTTAGGACTGATTAAACTTTACATTAGTCGGGATTTTACCGATTTTAATAAGTGCGTCAGTCAATTTTTACGCCGAAAAATGAGTTTTTGCTCACACTCTTCAAATTCGTTGTTGGTACACCGCTAGGATGAAGTACCCTTGCCTTCTCAATGCAGCTGCGCTTCAGTTCTCGATCTGTGGAAAATTGGACACGTTCTTAAAAGAGCGAAGTCTCGAACATGTTAATGTTAGGATACTTTGATGCTTATGCTAGGCTAACTGGTTTTAACAAATTTAACAAATTGCTAAGTCACGATTTTTTATGCGTTTTTTGCAGCAATGCAATGCGAAAAACGCATATTGACGAGAGGTTTTCTGTGTGT